AACAGAGTGAGACTCTGTCTCAAAAAAAAAAAAAAAAAAAGTATATGGTCTGTCAAAAGAAATGAAACAAGTACATTGGATTATAGTATTAATAGACTTTTATGTAGGTAATATACAATATTCATAACCCTACAATGTTATTCACTCAATACTGTTAATTTTCACTTCAAATTAATTTTTTTTTTTTTTTAGTATTTGGTTGCACCTGATTTAAATACATGATCTGAGTTAAATTGAAAGCTGAAAATCATCTATTTCTCGCAAGAACAAAAGAGAGCCCATTACGCATAGGTATCTTTTTCTTTTTTTTTTTAAAGAGTGGGGAGTTGTGAAGAGGGGTGCTCAGTTGCCTTGTTTGCTTTTGTTGAAACAAAGTCTCATTCTGTCGCCCTGGGTAGAGTGCAGGGGGGTCATTGTAGCTCACTGCAACCTCGAAATCCTGAGCTCTAAGGGATCCTTGTAGCTCAGCCTTGACTACAGGTGCGTGCCACAATGCCCGGCTGGTTGTCCCCCCTCCCTCTGCCCCTTTCTTTTTGGTAGAGATGGGGTCTCATGTTCAGGTTAGTCTCCAACTCCTTAGCTCAAGCAATCCTCCAGCCTGGGCCTCCCAGAATGCTAGGATTACAGGCATGACCCACTGCGCCTGGCCACGCATAGGTATCGTGAATGTCAGTATATACACAACTGCAGTATTCGCGGAAACAATTTGGTTTGTAATCTACGGAGTTGCACAGCCTGGAGGCTCCCTTGTGTAACTGGCTTCACACTGGTGTTTCCACTCTGTTGCCCAGCAACCTGTAGGAACTCTATCCATAATACTTGACAATTGGTCCTAGAAGGTAACTGGAAGTCATGATGACAATTCCTATGCTGTAAAAAGAAACTGTAGCAAGAAAGTTAAGATGCAATCTTGGCCTGGCGCGTTGGCTCAAGCCTGTAGTCTCAGCTACTCAGGAGGCAGAGGCGGGAGGATCGCTTGAGCCTATGACTTTGAGGTTGCTGTGAGCTATGATGACGCCACCGCAGGCACTCTAGCCTGGGCAACAGAGCGAGACATTGTCTCAAAAAAACAAAACAGAACGATGCAATCTTATTATTACTATCATTATTTTTGAGACAGTCTCGCGCTGTTGCCCAGGATAGAGTGCCATGGCATCAGCCCAGCTCACAGCAACTTCAAACTCCTGGGCTCAAGCGATCCTGCTTTAGCCTCCTGAGTAGCTGGGACTACAGGCGTGCGCCACCACGCCTGGGTAATTTTTTCTAGTAGAGACGGGGGGCGGGCGGGGGGAAAGTCTCACTCTCGCTCAGGCTGGTCTCGAACTCCTGACCTCAAGGGATCCTACCACCTCGGCCTCCCAGAGTGCTAGGATTACAGGCGTGAGCTACCGCGCCCAGCCGAGAACGATGCAATCCTGTATGGTGAGTGTAAACTGGAGAACTGGGCAGTGAAGGAGGCCGCCACGGGGGAAGCGAAAGCCTGGTATGGTGGCAGCTCCGGGGACCACCCAGCGACGGCTTCGAAGCGTAGGCAGAAATTTCTGCCCCAGCTTCCCTCAGACCAGATCGGAGCTGGGAAATAATGGTCCTTTAGCCACTCCACCGACTACGCCGAGATGTCTTCTCCAAGCGCACGCTGGAGTACAAACAGTGAAGGGAGAAAAGAGTAAGAAATGCGATGGTTAAAAATAATCAGGGCCACTTGGGCGCAAAGGCGGAAGCGCCTGTAGTCCTAGCTACTCGGGAGGCGAGGCAGGAGGATGGCTTGAGCCCAGGAGTTGGAGACTGTATTGCGAAATGATCGTGACTGTGAATAGCACTGCACTCCAGCCTGGGCAACACAGCGAGATATGGTCTCTTGAAAAAAAAAAAACCTCGCGGGTGACGCCAATAGGCGAATTCGGGAAAAGATGCCTTGACCACCCCTTCACAAGCCGACCCCCTAGACCACCCTTTCCGCTGCCTTCGGAAGCGGTGGTACCCGGGTTAGACTTTTGCTCTGAGCGTCAGGTTGCACGGAGGTGGTGCCAACCGGGCATTTTAACCAGTAGGCTGCTCCGACCGGACCACCGCGGGTCGACCCCGGGCCGACCCCGGGCAGGAAGTGACGCCACTGAGCCAAACACTTCCGGGGGTGCGGGGACTACTCCGCCGGAGGAAGCAGCGCGGGCTCGACCGGCGTCGGCCCGCTGCCTCCGACGTCGCCGCGTTCCAATCTGACCCCTCTGGCCCGGCTTGACCTGGTCTGGCCCGTCCGGACTCAGCGGCCGGTGGGCCGCGGCTCCCGGTAAGTGTGCCGCGTGAGTCGCGGCCTTGTTTACCTTGGCGGGCCGGTGGGGGGGGCCTCCCGGCGCGCTTCCCCGGCCGGGCCGGGGCTCCGCCTTCGCCGTCGCCTTCGAGGCCGGGCGCTCCCCGCCGCCGGTACACGGCTCAGTGTTTCTCACCGTTGGCAGAGGGGCGGCCGGAGGCCACAGCCCGGGCAGGCGGGTGCCCGGTGTGTCTCTGCCTTTTCTCCCACTGCTTTCTCAGCTCGAAGAGAGGTCGGAGGCCAGCGCCTGTGACTGACCTGCGCCGCACATCTGGGCCCTCCCCGCCAGGCGCGCAGGGGAAACGCGACGCTTTCGAGATCCCCACTCGAGTCATTTTTGAGGCTCTCGCAGCTCCACCCGCGCGTTTTGTTAACGCCCGCCTGTGAAGGGTCCCTTCAGTTCGTGGACTTAACGTCCGCGCGGGTATCCCAGCGACCGTGGCGCCTTGAAGGGACATGCGGCCCAAGGAACTGTGCCGCCTCCTCGACCGACGCGATGGACAGGCAACCTTGTTCTTGGATAACTTTGCTTTAGTATTGTTACTCTGTCCCATAAAACTTTCTGTAACAGCTACATGTTCTGTACCTTTGCTGTTCATTATGGTAGCACTCGTGGCCATTAAGCATTTGACATGTGGCTACTGCTATTGAGGAACCAAATTTTAAACTTCACTTAATTTTTAAGCTTAATTAAATTTAAGTAACCGCATGTGGCTAGTGGCTACCGTATTAAACAAGACAGATGTAGATTGTAGGATTTTGAAACTAAGTTGCTGATTCATACTTTTGTGCCAGGTAGTGTTCTTTGAAGATGTAGTTAGTAAATGACCATTCACTGCTAAATATCATATCTGGAGTGAATTTAGTCAAACTCTCCAAAATATGTGTTCCCTGTGTGGTCAGGCCTGGTGAGCAAGCCTAGGGTTGGGTGTCAGGTCTTTTGAATACGTGACTTTGGCTCTGGGGAAAAATAATTTCTGTTATTCCATTTCGATTTGGGGTTTAGGGATAATATTTAATGTTTCAGAAGAAATCAAAGTGTTGCCATCAATTCTGTTGTTAAGGAAATAGCATACTGGCTCCTTTGAATGGCGTTAGTACTTTTTCAAGAGGAATATAGTTATTTAACTTTGAAAAGATTAAAAATTAAGTTTTTATTTAAATCTGGTCCTAGAACACCCAGTATGAACGAAATGGAGTTCTCTTTTCTTTGGGGGAGCCTGGAGTTTCCACACTTCTTGAATATTTGGTTGGTGAGAAGCCTGTGGCTAACTTCTAAGCCCAGATCCTGAGGAGAAATCAGAGAATTTGGAAAGCATGCTCTTTTGTTGGTGTAATTTTGAAGGATCTTTTGGTAGCTTTGTTGACAGTATCAGACTATGGGAAGGTGTTGGATGGTTATGGGTATAGACCATGAGTCCGATGGAAGGCTGATGCCAGGTTCCAGCAGTTGCCAGTTGTATGATCCTGGGCAAGTTACTTAACCTTTATGAACTGTAGTTTCTTCATTGTTAGGAGACAACAGCCCCAGTTTGTAGAGTTGTGAATTAAATAAGAATGAGTCTAACCTGGAATGAAAGCTATTATTGGTAGTGATTTTTTGTAAATGAGAGCAATATTCACAGATTCTATTTGCCCAATAAGCAGTATCTTATGTAAGAATACAGATAAAAGAGAAAGGTTTAAAACAAATCAATTATTCTTTCATTAATTTGTAAATGCTCTTCCACAGTCATTGTTCGGACTTTGTTTTTCATTTAATTTCTATTTGCCCGTCTGTATTTGAAGTATTTCTTTGGAAATAATACGCTCTGGTTGTCCAAGAATCCTAAAGTAGACATAAAATTTCTAATTGAGTAAGCAGGTAGTACTTACTAGTCTTAGATAGTGGATCTGTCTATCTGAGAAAGCTAGATGGCCCTGGAGTATGTCAGAAAAGAGAAAAGAAGTGGGAGATGAATGTTAATACTGCCTGGTGGGCATGCTATTGGGGACATTTTTATTTGAAAATAACTTATTTATGAGTAAAGTCAGATCTGAAATATTAGCAAAATTCTATATTAGATGTGACTTACAGTAAAAGTTCAGTTTTAAGTCAGTTACAACTGCTTTGTCAACCTCTATATAACAGTTAGGATTGAAATTGTGGTAGGTAATTAATATAGGGAATCTGAAAGATAGGAGCATTGGAGTAAGGAGGTGGGATTTCAAACTGGGGGAGGGAATTTGGCATCTGTTTCCATCATTAGTACCCCAGATTAAATTATTGCTGTTTACTTTGAATACCTTCTTTTTTTGAGAATGCCATGTAACTCTTGTCAATATAATTATGATGTGGATTTCTGTTGGGACTTAAAAGAAAATAATTAATTTAATAATTACTCTGAAATTTGCAAAAGGAGGATACCAGTTTTAAAAATATAATTCTCTCTCTTCATTTTAGATGGAAATCATATGACATAGAATATTTGGGTGACATCTGCCTGAAAGATCTTCAAGAAGTACAGGTATTTTTAATTTCAAGACTAATTTTTTCTCCTAAAGAAAAAATACTGTAGTTAAGTTTAGTTGTGATTAGGTAGTTCTACCATACAAAACAATTTGTTGAAAGTCAAACTGCAGACATTATTTTGCTTCCCTATAATATGATTTTTTTAAAAAATGTGAGTATAGTTAATGTATCAACTCAGATTTACTTATTATTTTTATAATATCATAAAAAAGTGACTTTTGAGACAAGGTCTGGCTCTGTTGCCCAGGCTGGAGTGCAGTGATGTGATCATAGCTCACTATAACCTTAAATTCCTGGGCTCAGACAATCCTCTTGCCTCAGCCTTCTGAGTAGCTAGGAATACAGGCATGCACCACCAGTCTTGGCTTTTTTTTTTTTTTTGAGACAGAATTTTGCTCGGTAACCCTGGCTAAAGTGCAGTGGTGTGATCATAGTTCACTGCAACCTCAAACTCCTTGGCTCAAGTGATCCTCCTGCTTCAGCCTCCTGAGTAGCTGGGACTACAGGCACATACACGATGCCAGCTAGTTTTTCTATTTTTAGTAGAGATGGGGTCTCGCTCTTGCTCGGGATGGTCTTGAACTCCTGAGCTCAAGCAGTCCTCCCAGAGTGCTAGAATTACAGGTGTAAGCCACTATACCTGGCCCAGGCTTGGCTAATTTTTAAAGTTTTTTTTTGGTTGGTTCGTTTGTTTTTTTGTGGAGGTGGGGTCTTGCCATGTCACTTGGGCTGGTGTCTAACTCTTGGCCTCAAGTGATCTTCCTGCCTCAGTCTCCCAAAGTGCTGGGATTACAGGCATATGCTACCACACCTGACCAAAAAGCGACTCTGTAGTCCTTTAGACTGGTTACATATTCAGTACACATTGCTTCCTTCCTTCATTCTTTTTTTTTTTTTGAGATGGGGTGTCACTATGTTGCCCAGGCTGGTCTTGAACTCTTGGGCTCAAGGGATCCTCCTCCCTCAGCCTTCTGAGTAGCAGGGATTATAGGTGCACACCACTATGCCTGGCTAGTACACATTGATTCTTTGATTTAGAATATTTTTTTTTCTTTTTATTTTTTTAGATAGATTACTTCAAATACACTTTACATTTACTTTTGTATTTAATCCAGATTTGTTTATGTAAATTGTTTATATATTGTCAAATCCAAAGGCTCTCGCATTTTAAGGTCCTATTAATTTTTAGATTTAAATTGCTAAATGATATTGTTTCTTACAAATCATCACTTTATTATAGTACTTGTGTAGAAAAGTTAATGGATATTTGCCAAATCTTTTTTGAGATGAAGTTGGCATTTGTGACTTTTGTTTTTTCAGCTAATGTTCTCTTTTCATTTATATGTAATTGAGTAATATTTGGCTCTGTGAGAATTTTTTAATAGCTGATTCAGTTTAAATTCTTATTTCTTCACCCTAAATAGATTCTGGTTTTTCCTAGCCTTGATGCTGCTAAGGCAGATCTGTAGTTTTCCTTCACTCTTGGGTTGGTTTCTGTGCCTCTAAGTACCCTTTTTAAAGGTTCAGTAGAATTCTTTAAAACTGCAAAATCAGTTAACTTTGCAGACTAGAGGAGTATGTTGAAGGGCTATGTGGTTTTTATTTTTCTTTACTATGCAGCTATTTTCCAGACATCTAAGAGTGATGTCTATGAAACAGTGTTTTTTTTTTTCTACGTATTATGAAGGGAAGGAACTGTGTTCCTATTTATGTACTGTGTCACTATGAGGCATGATTAGCAAAATTTTAAACTTTGATAGGTAAATCTCTAGGTTGCTTCCCCAATGAGTAGCTGGCTGTGGGGATGTGCTTCTGTCTTAAGGATTCTGGCAGGAAGGACAAATCCATTGGAATTTGACTCCCTGACATGGAGCAATTGGCCTTGCCCTTTCATTCCAGACACTTAATGTGAAGTTGCCATCATCAGCTGCTTCTGCCTCTCCATGGAAGGGTTTCTCTTTGATAAACCTGGGCCAGGGGAATAGTGTTGAGATTCCCAATATAAGATCAGAGTTGGAATAGGTCATAGTGAGGGTAGGGCCACGCCTGTGCAATTTTGATTATTGAATGGTTTCTGTTACAATTTCTCATGGGGAAAAAGTAACACTTTTTTTTTTCCTCCTTTAGAAGACAAAAATACTAATGCATTTGAGAAAGCGGTAAAGTTTGGGGGGAGGGGGAAAAAGCAACTGCTTTCCTGATCTGCAACTTTGCTGGATGCTAAGATGTCCGTGGACATGAATAGCCAGGGGTCTGATAGCAATGAAGAGGACTATGACCCAAATTGTGAGGAAGAGGAGGAGGAAGAGGACGAGGACCCTGGGGACATAGAGGACTATTATGTGGGAGTAGCCAGCGATGTGGAACAGCAAGGGGCGGACGCCTTTGATCCTGAGGAGTACCAGTTCACCTGCTTGACTTACAAGGAGTCCGAGAGTGCCCTCAACGAGCACATGACCAGCTTAGCCTCTGTCCTAAAGGTGAGCAGTGTTGTAAATGCCATTGTAATCCCCCCAGTTAAATCTAAAGATGAGCTGTTACTAATTATTGTCTTCTCTAGACTGAATGATCTTGTACCTTGAAACCAAATTTAAGTGTATATTACATCATTTGAACATTTTATTACATTTACTTTGTTTTCTAATATGTGTACATCTAAGGTCCTCAGATTCCCAAGTTACTAAGAATTATAAAGGAGAAATGGGGTGGATTCAAGAAAGACAAACCAGAAGTATGTAATAGAACTGTACAGTTTTGCA